AATTGGGGCATGAGCACTGGATAAAAAACAGTTGGCTGATGCTAGTATCTCCAGGAACAACAATAGAGTCTGTTTGGTTTCAGTTTTTCTATTGTGATATGGAAGAAAGCGAAGATGTGCCAAAAGATTTTATCAAGCTCAAGTCTGAAAAACTCTCTGTAGATGAAGTGTCAGAGCTGGTTGTTTCACCATACTGTGGGGCAGTGTCTCTGTTCATTGGTGAGTTTAATATCCGTGAGCTAAGTCACTGGATATGTTACTAGTCTAATAAATGTAACTTAAGTTGTCCACATCCCAGACTTGCAGTTTTCAAATAAATCAGTTCCTGGTCTGAGCCCATTATGTTTAGAAAACAGGTTCTGAATTATTAGAGCAAGACCATATCAGCTCCTAAATAGCTTCATGGCTAAAGTGATGTGGGGCTTTCTGGCTGGTGTGGCTATCGTAGGACTGAACAGAACAGTAGCTCTGGAGTAGAGAACTTCCTGGGAGTTGTTCCCCTGTCCCCTGGGATACAACTTGTTCAGGATGGGAAATGGAATATTGTGGCTGTGACAACCACATGTCCACACCTGTATGTGAGGTTTTGTAACTCAAGTCTTAGTTGAAAGTGAAGTACTGTTCTACCAGTGGGCTGGTGAAGGTCAGGCTGGTAGCTCTGTACTGTGCTTAATGTACAAGGCACACATATGGAACTGCTGTGTGCTTAAATCTTAGTGCTACTAGGCTCCTAAATACTGGGAATTTAAAAATTACATGGGCAAATGCCATTATAACCTTACATAACCTTATCAGTTACCACAGAAGATGTCCCAGCCTTGGGCATTGTGGACTGCAGATCTGTCTAATGTGTAAACTGAATTCTCCCTTTTATAGTAAAGATTTATCTTGTTCAAATAATCTCATTATGCAGCCATGATTACGGGAGGTTGTTTATATTTGCACAGTGCTGACCTTACCATAGCAAGAGATCCTGGGTTTTTACTCTGTATTAATATAGTATATAATGTGTATTATAAAGATGCAATATGTATTTACTCAGAGCTTTTAGTTGATAAATCATTTTTATTTAGGTACTACAAGAAATAATTTTGAAGGAAAGAAAGTGATTCACTTAGAATATGAAGCCTATACTTCAATGGCAGAGACTGAAATAAAGAAAATCTGCAGAGATGTTAGACAGAAATGGCCTTCAGTCAAACATGTTGCAGTGCACCATAGACTTGGGTATGTATGTCCAGATCCATTCTTCTGCAACTGGAGTATCAGTCCTTGTCTGCTGCATGACTGTGCTTACGTAGTTGCAGGATCTGCAGGAGTGTTTAGAAACCATAGTGCAGCAAAGCTGGCTGCAGGATCAAGCTCTTGCTCTGCAGCTAAGTTTCAAAAATTTTGTTTTCAAAAATGTGTTTATTGGTGGGTTTACTGGAATCCACACTCAGCCTGTCAGGATCTTTGATGCTGATGTGATGTCTTGAAAGTGGGGAGATACTTCAGGGAAGGGGAGGCTATTGGTTTACTTTGTTCTTGATTTTTTTAAAGGTGTGAAGTTGGCAGCACTTTATTTTTTTTCTTCTCTCAACTGTTGAGCGGCTGTAGAATGTTCTTATTATCAGATTTTAGTCTATTTATGCTACAGAAAGTCTGGAAGCTTAGGCTGTGGGGCATAGTAGTTTCCAGCCATGCTTGTGGGAGAACCTCCTGTTGTCCCTTGAGTCTTGGATGAGCATTTTCTTTTTGATTCAAACGTGGAATACTAGTGTCTGACATACTCTTGGGCCTTGCCAGTTCAGGGAAGATTTCTCGCTGAAACTAGCGGGATTTGCAGAAATCCTGAAGGAACTTGGGATGTGATTGGAAAGGGTAAGTAAGATAAAAGGCCTGAGGGGTAGTTTCCCTAGATTTCCTCTACAGTCAGCAGAGAGGGCGGCTGTCATGAGGGCAGCTCAAAGCATTTAGGCTGAGATTTCTTCCTATGGACTGTGCTGTAGGAGTCTTACTATAGAGGGAGGATTGGGAGATTTTAGGAATGCTACAACTGCAAGGAGAAACACAGAACCTTGTGCTTCTGTTAAGTTTAACACAGCACACCAAGTAGTAAACTTGAGATTCTAAAATCTGAATTAATCAAAAATTTTGTTTCATTGCAAAATCTGCATAGTGTGAGGCAATTAATTTATTCTTTCACAAATTCTTGTGCAAACTGAGAATTTTTCTTAGGTTTTTAGGTAAGAACTGGCTGTTCTAACTTGTTATTGTTCATTATTAAGCCAGCTTCCAGTGAGGTTCCTATGCATTGTTACAAGTTAACAATTTCTCCCTCTTAATTCCATAGGCTTAATTTTAAAAAAAGAAAGAATGGAAGAAAAAAGCCTATGTCTGGTGGGTTTTTTTATTCTAAAGTGTGGAATTCTAACATCTGGTACTGATTTTGATTGTGGTTTTCTTTCTTTTAAGAAGTGTATAATCTTTTGGATGTGGTTTGACACTTGCTCAGTATGAATGAGTCAGGAGAGCATGTGGCCAGAATACTGACGTGACATGGCTACAGCTTTTGGGTGCTCTTGATGTTAAGTGTTAGCTAAAGCTGCTGTTGTTCCTCTTCTCTCCCTAGTGTGGTTCCAATAACTGAAGCAAGTGTAATTATTGCAGTCTCCTCTCCGCACAGAGCAGAATCCCTTGAAGCTGTAATGTACTGCATCAATACCTTAAAAGCATGTGTCCCAATATGGAAAAAGGTACGTTTGGGGACAAAATCAAATTTAGGCCTATGCTAGTCTTAGACATCTTGGCTACCTTAGCAGCATTCCAGGCAGTAGTAACTGCTCCTGATGGGTTGTCAGTGTCTAGCACCAGTGAGTTTCCTCTATTGCAGCCAGGCCCATATGTGGCAGGTAGAGCATCTGGAAGGTTCTCCTGTACCTGTACCATCTAGCTCCTCTTTATTTTGAAGCCATGCTAGGGTGAAAGCGAAGGAGGCCTGAGCTGTCCTCTTTTGAGTAGTAAAACTCAGTTCTGCACAGGCTTGTGGAAGAATTTGAGTCAGTTTTGCTTAGGACAGCATTGCAGTTTGGAAGTAACAGGAGCATTTCTTGCCTATCTCTTTGCCCCTCATCGCTGTGGTCGTGAGAAAGCATAAAGCACTAAGCAACAGTGCACAATGAAGGGGTGAGCAGAAGTCCCAAAGCTAGTATAGGCACACAACTGTGTGTGGAGAAACCAGCCCAAATCTAGAAAGAGCATCAAGAGCCTCACTGTATAACCTCAGTGTTGCATGCAAATAATGAGCATTATCTCTGCCTCCTCTCCCTGGCAGAACTTGGCATATGGTTAACAGTGATATTGCCCACATTAATGTGAATTAGAAGTGAATTTCACATGTAGACTAGT